TACTATCTTTTGGGGGGAACAGCTGATATGACTATTAAAGAAATCGGACCTGAAAAACTCAGTGAGAGCTGCTCTGTTGCAATGACTGAGGACCTACAATGAATGTGTGTGTGTGTGTGTGTGTGTGTGTGTGTGTGTGTGTGTGTGTGTGTGTTTTGAGACAGGGTCTCACTATACCCAGGCTGGCCTCAAACTCCTAGGCTCAAGCAATGCTTCTGCCTCAGCCTCCCAAGTAGCTGGGACTACAAGCATGTGCATTTTTCCTGGTTCCAAAGAAACATATATATACATTTACACATTTGCAGAAATGTATTATGGCTTTTTGTGTACTTTCCTATTATAGTTTTGCATATCCTTTATCTCATTTGACTATCATTCCAATCCCTTGAATTTGGAGATCTGTCAATATCATTATCATCCCCTTTCAACACAAAGAAAACAATAAGGCTCATGTTCGTGCCCTGGATCCTCAAGCTAAGCACTTACTCTTTGCCTAGCTAAGCATTTACTCTTTGCCTAGCATTGTGTCAGAAGATGCAAAAAAAAAGATTGAACCATTTCTTCTGCCCAAGGGACCTTGTAGAGTTACTAGAGAGGTAATACCAAAACATATGAAACTCTGTTGCATAAAAAAGAAGAATGATTTCACTGAAAAGAAAAAGATCACTGTCAGGCAGAGTGGTCAGACGGATTTTATAAAGATGGCTGGACTTGAGCTGGCCTTACATGACAAAGAGAAAGGTGAGTCCATTGGGTCTACGTGCCTTACCTGCCATCACCATCACACACTTGTCCCTTCTTTTCTTCGCTGATTTTCCCGCACCCACTCCTTATTCTAAGCCCAAAGGGAGCAAAGGAGGCTGGTTAAGGTGGAAGTAATCAACTCAAGTCTTCATCACTAGAATCTCATTAAAAATGGAGGAGTTAGCACTAATGAGCTGGTGGAATCACCAGTTGAGGTAGACATGAAGATGGTCACTGCTCTGCTCCTTCCTTTATCTTTTGAGTTTCCTCTCCATTCGATCATGTCCCTCCTCCTGGTTCGAGGATTCTTTTTTCAAGGAAGTGACATTTCTGGATCCTGACCCAGAAAAAAAAAATTTTTTTTAAAGAGAGAGAGAGAGAGAAGGGAGGGGAGAGAAGTTTTTAATATTTATTTTTCAGTTTTCGGTGGACACAACATCTTTATTTTATTTTTTATGTGGTGCTGAGGATCGAACTCAGCGGCCCACACATGCCAGGCAAGCATGTTACCACTTGAGCCACATCCCCGGCCCCCCAGAAAATTTTTGCCACAAGTCTCTACTGTGTTAGTCACCTCTTGGTTCCTTATGCTGTATATCAAGGGGTTCTGCACTGGGAAGAAAAGGAGACAACAGAAGTTGGGGAGTCTTCTGGGGAGTAGCTATAGATGGGGAAAATGTAGATGAGGGTGCAATATCCTTACTGAAGGAGAACTGCAAGGAGGTGAGAGGAACAGGTGGAAAAGTTCTAGCACTTTCCATCTTCAGAATTCATCCTCAGGAAGTTGGTCATAGTACAACCAACCATAAGAGGCAGGTAAGGAGAAAGAGTTGGCCACAGTGGCCACACAGATGGCAAAGAGAACTGCCTCGGGCATGTGGGGTGTCTGCAAAGGCCAGTCACATGACCATGGGTATGACACAGAGGCGATAAATTCTGTTGTGGCCGCAGAATGGAAGGCAGCCAATTAGAATGGTCATAGGCAATGACTACAGGAATCCCAGCCAACTCGCCATGAGGTTGTATTGCCACATACTTGTCAGTGGCCATGAGAGCAAGCCAGACACAGAAGGATGAAGAAGATCATCTGGGCCCCAGAGCCAGAGAGAGAAACAAACATCTTCCCCACAAAAAGCCAGAGTCAATGAAGCAATGTTGACGAAGTAGCCAATTGCCAACCCGGCCCATGCAAAAAGGAAGAAGTGCATTGAGGTATGGAGGGAGGGGTCTTGCCAAACTGTGAGCCTAGTGGTGAGGTTTCCAATGGGGCTTCCTAGGCCACAGCAAGAATGCCACAAATACAAGGGATTCCGCTGTCAGATCTGTTGAAAAGGGCAAGAAGAGGAAGTGTAGCACCCCTATCTAGTTTTCTTCTTCCAGTAGACCTGGCGCAAGGAACGAGGTCCTGGGCAAAGTCACCCTCCTGTGTCTGACCCTGGAACAGGTCCACTGTGTTAAAACACAATCCGTAGTCACTGAGGTCTTCTCCTCAGGCTTCTGTGGGAGTTCAGACAATGTTACTTTGTACCCACCCTGCTTCATCTATTAGCCATGTGACCTTGGAAAACTTAGGGACTTCAGCATTCTCCCTGTAAATGTGGGAAGAGGGCAGCACCCGCCTCAGAGTGGTGATTAGAACAACATGAGAACCCACGTCTGAAAGCAGCAAGCCCAGTGTCAGGAACACTGTAGTTTCCCATGTTTCCTTCCTACTTTTAATACCAAATTCCCCTGATCACTCTGTATCTCTTATTATGATTACCCCACTGACACTAAAAACAGCTGAGGCATTTCTGCAAAAGTCATATGATTCTCATGGCGAGCCTAGAAACAGCCCACACGTCCTCTTTCCCCACGTTACAAATGTGGAAGCAGAAAACCCCGAGAAGTTGCATAGCTACCACTGTTGTCCTCCACACTCTTCAAACTCAGAATTCAGGGTTTTGGGTGTTTTTTTTCTGTTTTGTTATTTTTTTTATGTGTGTGTGTATGTGTGTTTATTTGTATTTTTTGTATTTTTTATTTTGTTTGTTTGTTTTTGATACTAAGGATTGAACTCAGGGGCACCCAACCACTGAGCTGCATCCCCAGCCCTATTTTGTATTTTATTTAGAGACAGGGTCTCACTGAGTTGCTTAGTGCCTAGCTTTTGAACTCGTGAGCCTCCGTCCCAGGCTCCCCAACTGCTGGGATTACAGACATGCGCCACAATGACCAGCTTCATTTTTTTTGTTAAACCTCAACAATCCAGTTTTGCTTTGTTTTCTACTGTTATGTCAGATATGAACCCTACCTTATTTCACCTTCTTTGTATGTACACCTTCCCTTCATTTGTGCAATCATAGTGTCCAATTTAGGATTTTCATCCCCCTCATGCATGGCTCCCCTCTCACCAACCAGACTCACCATCCCTTAATCTCCCTTGGATGCTCCTTAAGTCACATGACTCCACACTGACCAAAAGCTTAAGAAGCAAAGGAGTCTCTTATTCCGCCAGCATCACCTTCCACAATCATAGTCTGATTCACAAAACAATGTTATAAGTGAAAGTAGCACAACCTGCTGGGGGTATGACTTCAGGAAGTGACTCAGTGGACATGCTTCACTGCCCCAGGTCACCAGCCACACCTCTGTTGATCTTTAAATGTGATTGAGCTTTAATCTGAGGCAAGATAGACTTGTCTATGAATGCAAACACTCTCCTATGTTTATGGGTCACCTTCTCTGTTAGGGATAAATGGACAAAGGTGTATCCACAGTGGTCTTTGTATTGGTATTTTCAGAGGATGCTGAGACCAGGCCAGTCCAAAAGCTTTATTGTGCTGAAGTAGAGGGACATGATTTGTAGTAGCCACAAAATGCAAATTAAAGCATATAAGCCATTTTTGTTTATTGACCAAGTAAGCCAAGTTTTAATACTGTGCACCTTTAGAAATAAAGATCCTCAGTGCTGGAGAAGCTGAGGAGAAACAAGCATTCATAAGCTCACTGGTAGAGGGGGAAGGATCAAGGCTTCAGGAAAATTACTTTGTTAAACGCTCCTATTTTGTCAATAGACTGGCGATTTTAAGTTAGGAAATGATTGCATTCAGTATACCACCCTTTAACAAATGTTGAGCTTTTGTTCATGTAGGTTTGAGATCTTCCCAAATAAGAAGTTAGCATTTTGACTTTAAATTTGGCCATTACAAGTCAGAAGTCTAAGCTTAGATCTGAATCCAAAATATAACAATGATGACAAGACAAAAAAAGCGTTACACCCAAGGTAAAAAGCCCAGCATGACTTTAGTAGGGAATAATGAAAACAAAACAATATACTGGAATAAGTTGATTAAATACTGTGTAATTGTTTAAAATTATACTTAAAATTTTTGACAACACAAAACATGAAAATGTGTGACATGTTAGGAAGCAAAAAGCGAGATTATAATCACACTGTCACAAGACTGCAGAGTTTGAATGATAAGCCTGAGAGACATTTCCCTGTTTGGTATTTTTCAATATTCTTTAATAAATATCAATATTTTATAATTTTAATTCACTACAAACATATGATAAAAAGATAAGAAGTGTTATCCTCAAACTATAAAGTATGGCATTTTGCAAATTTTTAGAACAAAGTAAACAAATTACACAGAATCCTTTTTATTATTTAGGATTAATTTAACATTAGGATTCATTTTGACAAAATTATAAAAGCATGAAATACAGTTTGTTCTAATTCAGTCCCAGCGCCTCCCCTTCCCCTTCCTCCCCTTGTTCTCTTCCCTCTACTCCGCTGATCTTTCTGCTG